TATGGTTGTCACACAATCTTCTGTCACCCTTGTTTTTGCATAGGTGCTTCAGAATCGCATCCTTAAATCTCTGTGGAACGGCTTCGTCTAGCCAGAGTTTTTGATAGAACTTAGTCAGTTCAGTAACTAGAGCGTCACCCCCATATTTGAACACTTCCGGTGGGATGCCATCGTCGACAGGTGCTTTGCCGCTTGAAAGTTGATTGATTGCTTTGACAGTCTCAGCTACGACAGGGACATTGTCGAGCTCGTCAATAATAGGCCGTTGTGTYATTTCGTCTATGGCATCTTCAAGGATTCTTGATTCGCGATTTAGAAGTTGGCTAAAGTGCTCTGCCCAGCGCGCSAGGAYCAAAGAAGGTTCTTTAATCAATGTTTCTCCGTCTACAGCAAAGAGTGGACATGTTCCTCTCGACGATGGTCCATACACAGCTYTTATCGCGTTGTGGAACGTTTTCGCATCATGCGRGTCAGCGCTTGCCTGAAGAAGTTTTGTTCTCTCTGACCACCACTTGTCGTTCATTTCACGGAGCTTGGCCTGTGCAACTTATACATATTGTTCCACAGGTAGTGGATTACATTACATGATAAAGCGTGACCTTGCGAGTTGARGTGACTCACAACTACATGTAAAATAACAACGAAATGAAAGCTTACCYCAGCGGTGGTAACTAAAATAAACTACAAATCCATTAAATCTTTGTGCTTCTAGTGTGTATATGATAAATCCTATTAAAATATATATGTAATAATATTGAAATATAATAGAAACAAAGGACAAATTAGCGAACAAAAACTACTTGAGTAAGTGCATCAGGTACGAAAGTACAAAAGTGCTCAAAACAATATAAAAACAATTAAATCTGTGAACAGAAACTTACAATTCAGCTTCCGTAACTCTTTAGAATCCAGCGTTACAGCTTTAATAAGAGGATGGCYTAAAATAGGCTTATAATAAAACGATTTAAATCACAATGTCTTTAAGAAGTTTCACAATCGAGCATGGACGATCAAGCGAGGAGAGTCCTGGTCACCAGGCCCTCTCGATTACATACACAGGGAGCCCATGCCACATGTAAACTCTATCAGATACCCCGACACAACCCAGGGATCCCCTGTAAGCTGTTTCCAAATGGGTAAAAACTGCTTTAGTCTGCCTGCTAAGGGTATGTTTAACAAATCTGAAGGTTTTTGATACATATTTATTGTAAACTGGTTTGAAATGGAATCTACTTTTGTTTCATTTCCCAAGGATGATAAAGCGGGGTTCAATTTAGTCAGAACTTGCTCGCGCCTCTTGGATGAGATTTGGGCTGAGATATCCCCAACAAGCATGATAACCTTCTTGATACAATGAAACATGCTGACTACAGATGCTTTATCCACAGAGGTCACATGATTTTCTAGTGACTCATACATCACAAGACCGTCTGGGTAGTCCTCCAAAACACAGCTCGCGGCCATGTGCTGAGCATGTTTGGTACACTGTCAGCGAGGCGTACACGTTTTGATTGGTGAGTTTTTTCAACCACCTGCACGTCAACTTCAATGGGCATTGTTCTTTTTCGTGATTTCACCGTTTGGTCCAAAGACTCTCCGGTGGCATACTCAACCGGCGATGGCAGAGAAACGAGACCGTTTGATGAATCGGCACGGATGGTAGACAAAATCGCGCTTGATATCATTGAAATACATGGCTGGTCGGCAACGATAGCCTGTGCCAGCTGTGTGGGTGAAGATGACTCAGTATCACTTACGTTTTCTGGTGGATGGGAATGGATTTCCTCAGTGTTATTATCGTCTTCCATTTTCGTCGACGAGGAGTGAACGAAAAGGGCAAGATTGGAGTGGGGCTTCGGCCTATATGTTGATGGGTTGCCATAGTTACGTAGTTTTTCTTCCAACCACTGTATTTTGAGGAGTGAATAAAGAGACATTGCATTGTTAAATTGAGACGAGTGTTTCGAAGTATAATTACTAAATTTTGAGGTGTTCTTTTTTGCCAATTGGTGTTGTTGGAGATAGTGATTACTTATAATTGTCATGTTGTTACTAGCAAGCAATGGCACGCTAACCATAACTTGGAACAACAAAATACCAGCTCTTTATGGTTAAAGAACACAATTTGTTAGTTGTAACATTCAGATTAAAAGCTAAAAGGCCTATGTGGCCTAGGAGAGGTCTGTGTGACCTAGTGAGACCTGTGTCTGTGTAACCGTACAAATAATGTCATTAGTTATGCGTAAAAGTTACATCTCGATAATTTAGGTGATTATCATATATCTGTGGATATTTGCAGTACAATGCTCACATTATTGCATTTTATGTTTTTTTTTT